TTCACGAGAAAGTGTATGGGCCACGCGACGCTGTGCTGGGTGGGGGAGACGCATGCGGACTTTGCCTCTGGCCCTTCGGTGGAGCTCCCTGTGGGCCACGAAACGAAGCGTTGTGCTGAGTGCGAGAAACGCAGGCTGACTTTGCCATTGAGGCCTTCGGTGGAGCTCCCTTTGGCCTTCGGTGGATCTCCCTCTGGGCCACGAACTAGACTGGGTGGGGAAACTCGTGGACTGTGGCATTCGGGGGCCGTCCGTGGAGATCCCTGAGGGGCCACTAAACGTGTGCGGGGAGTGCTGGTTCCCTGGGGGGCCACGAAACGTGTGTGCAGACCGATGCGACGAACAGAAATAAAGAGGGGGAAGAAGGGGAGGGGGTAGAATTAACGTGGGGCGTTGTCTCTCCGAAACAAGGCCCCAACACCACAGGATGGCTTGGAAAGCCTCCAGAAAGAACCTTTCGGAATTTACCCGCTGAGAACATGTAAACAATGAATGATTTACGCGAGGACACGTATTCAAGACGTCAAAGGCACGCCCTTTGCTACCAAGACGCAGCGCCTGAACACGGCGCAAATTCAGAATGGTTCCCCCGCTCCAATCCCCACAGGAGAGCTGTGCAAATTCTGACAACGCTTCACCGTTCAAAAACACAACCTTCAAGGCGAGGGTTTCCGATTCCTCACTCGTTCCCCCTCCTCCCCACAACGTCCACCAAACTCGTCAGCCGAGCCTTCCAAGAACATCAAACACCTTTGAGCTCCCCCATAACATAAAAGCCCCAATCATTATGCAACTTTGTCGGCGTGGGGGGCGTCGGCCTGAGAATCCAAAACAAGTGCAAAACGATCGACACATCCGAATGATCCTTGTGAGGGTGCGAAAAAAATCCGCAACTCAGCTGGCGTAGAGGTCGTCGCCCTGGGAATTCACATGGCCGACGAAATTGCGACATGATTGTGTTCAATACCCTCGCAAGGCTCATTTTGATGCTTTGATACTTCAAGAAATGTATTGCATTGGTTTCCAAATTATTTTGGGTTCCCAGGCCGACGACCCCCACGCCAGCCAATTTGCGAAATTATTGTTTTGTTTGAGCTCTCACAAGAAGTATTTCCAACCCTCCTGTGTTGGGCTCTCGTTTTGGCCAGAGCACTGTGAAATGCACTCCTTCTCCTTCTCCTTCTCATCTCCCCTCCTCCTGCCTCCTCCTGCGCTGCTCCCTGCCACTTTCGTGGGCTGGAGGTGGACAAGCATCCAGCCGAGACCTCGTAGCTCCCTGGGCGGCTGCGACTTGCGCAACTATCGCCACTTTCGTGGGCTCCTGGGAGGTCCAGCGGAATGAAACGTACGCGCATCCAGCCGAGACCACGCGGCTCCCTTGGCAGCTACGACCTGCGCAACTCTCGCCATCTTCGTATGCTCCTGGAAGTGCACGTGCATCCAGCAAAGTCGTCGCGGCCCCGCGGCTTGCTGTGACCTGCGA